TAGAAATAAGAGTTGCAAGGATAATTTCATGATGGAGATTAATATCTGCAAGTGGAACATTTTTTTCTTTTTCTCCTTGTCTTGTTGAGATTTCTTTGACACTTTGAAGGCTGCCTCCTTGAATGTTACTAGCAATAAGAGAAAAAAACACTCCTCAGGTCAATTTTCTGCCAGAATTTTTAAAAAAATATTTATTCTTAAGCTTTAGGTTGATACAATATCTTTATTTTACATTTATGTGGTGCTGAGGATTGAACCCGGTGCCTTGTGCATGCTAGGCGAGCACTCTACCACTGAGCCACAACCTCAGCCCTCTGACAGAATTTTTTTAAAAAGGAAAAAAGAAAAACCACTTCCAGAAGCTCAGAATTACAACAAGGAAAAGAAAGGATTAAGACAAGAATATTATTAATAGATGGGATATGGAACATATGTACAAATTGAGGAGCTTGAATTAAATATTTTCATATACTTATTAATGTCAGCATTTCAAAATATTATCTTAACAGCATTAACAATATGCTGATTTGTAAATTGGTTCTTACTTTTCTATTTTTCTTGTTTAAGAGGGTTTAAAATGTGTGCTTAGGGGCCAGGGTTATAGCTTGGTGGTTGAGGGCTTGCTTGAGCGCTTACCTTGCATACGTGAGGCATTGGGTTTGATCCTCAGCTCTACATAAAAAAATAAATAAAAATAAATAAAGATATTGTGTCTATCTACAGCTTTAAAAAATGTGCTTAAAGACTGCTTTACCTTTTTAAGAAAATGTTTTTAAGTGTTTGACTTGAAGATTCTTGATAATTGGCTCCAGTTTATCTTATCATTCTTATTATTCAATGACCATGTCCTACAATTTTATACTCTTGATAACTCTAACCTCCTTCCAGCTTCTCCATTCCCTTTCACAGTGCCTTCCTCTCTGAATACTTCCTTTTCCTAGAATGTCCTCTATTTGTCCATCACTTCTTTATTCTTCAGTATTCCATTTTCTGGTTTCCCTTTTGTTTTTTTACAAAGAATTAGTTTTCTCAATATTATCTCTTCTGTAATAACATTTTATATTCTAACTATGACTGTATATTTACTGTTTGAAGCAGTGAGGTAAACTTTAGGAGATAAATTTGTAAAATATTGAGTGTGTAATAAGCATTCATTATATTAGATGATTTTCCTTTTTTTTTTCCCCCTTCCCTTTTCCTTGCTTAGGTTAGACAACTAGATTCAGCATTAGAAATTTGTAAGGAAGAGCTTGCCTTGCATTTGAATCAATTGGAAGGAAATAAGGAAAAGTTTGAAAAACAGCTGAAGAAGAAATCTGAAGAGGTAAGTTATTTCCTTTATATGTAGCACAATTTTCATGTGATTTCTTTAAGTTTTATGTACTTATTTTTGGTACCAGGGATTAAACTACAGAGGGCATTTGCTCACTGAGCTGCATTCCCAGCCCTTTTTTGTATTTTATTTAGAGATAGGGTCTCAACTGAGTTTCTTAGCGCCTTGCTTTTGCTGAGGCTGGCTTTGCAGTCCTCCTATCTCATCCTCCCAGCTGCTAGGATTACAGGCATGTGCCACCATGACCGGCCTCTTTGAGTTATTTTTAAGATACTTTATGGTGTATTTTTTTTTTCTTAGTGGTTTCGGGGATTGAACCTAGGGCCTTGTGCATGTAAGGCAAGCACTCTACCAACTAAGCTATATCCCTAGCCCCTAATATACTATATTCTTCCGTAGCTGATATTAAAATGTACATTCCAAATTTTATATTCTTTAAAGAACAACCTTTATTTCAGTGCAACTTAAAATATAAAACCATGGGCTGGGTGTTATGGCTCAGTGGTAGAGTGCTTGCCTAGCACGTACGAGGCCCTGGGTTCAATCCTCAGCACCACATAAAAATAAATAAATAAATAAAAAGGTATTGTATCCAACTACAACTAAAAAATAAATATAATATATATATATATATATATATATATATATAGGAGCTGAAGTTGTGGCTCAGTGGTAGCGTGCTTGCCTAGCATGTGCAAAGCCCTGGGTTCGATCCTCAGCACCACATGAAAATAAATAAATAAAATAAAGGTATTGTGTCCAACTACAACTGAAAAATAAAATATTATATATATATTTTCTCTTAAAATTCTAATTATTTATTGTTTAGAGAATCAGATAAATTACTAATATCACAGAGCAATTCTAATATAAAATAAATAACATCTAATATAAAATAAGTAATATTTAGATTTAGAGTGAAATTATTCAAAATTTTTCTATTTTGTTTTTGTTTCTTCTCATTGTCTGAAGAATTAAGAATTAGATATAGAGCTGGGTGCTGTGGCACATGCCTACAATCCCAGCAGCTTGGGGAGCTGAGGCAGGAGGATTATGAGTTCAAAGCCAAAAGAGCTTCTTTCTCATGAGCAAAGAATATGTGGTTCCTAAGTCCTTTATGATCCTTCTGAGTGTTCATCGGCTGGATAATTTAAAAAAAAAAAAAAAAAAAAGAACCAAGTCATGATTCTATTGTGCTATGTCTTGCAAGGAATTAAAATTCCTTTCTTCTGGAAAGAGTCTTTGCTTTAAAGGAATAGCTTTGTTTCCCTTCATTTAAAAAAAATTATTACATAAACAATGATAGGAAAACTTTCAAAGAGAATTTATATACACCTTTCTCTGTGGTACTATCTTTTTCATTTATCTTTTCATAATTATATTGATGCAATGTGATTTTTCAAACTTAATTTCATTTTATAAAATGTTACATTTACTGCTGTCTTGTAAATTATGGTTTTAAATGGACACATCATTTATAATTAGATTGATATATATCATCTTTAATTAAAACTTTGCCTTATTGTCGGAGGAGGTGAAAAATGTTATAAAATATATTTTAAATTATGCTAGGTTATTTATATTATTTTTTAAATGATTTCTGTTAGCAGGTTTTTAGGATTTGGATTATTATGGCAAAGGACAGTTTTTTTGGTTTTTGTTTTTTCCCTTCTTAATACTAGTGCTACTAGATAATTTTAAGAATATCTTTTAAATCAGTTTTAGAGACCGGCATATTCAAATACTAAATATTTGGAGTGAACGAGTGAAATTTCTCAGCTGATAATGTTATTCTTTGTATGGGTTTTTTGGAGCAAGAATATTCCCGGGTGCTTTGCTGGAATAGTCTTTTATAAATAACAACAATAACCTAATAATAAATATTGACTAATATTTTTGCATTACTTCATGGCAGTGATTTATTATCACAAAGCAGAAAAAGTGCATTAGCTGAAATGTAGAGAAATCCATAGCTATCTATATTTTTCACTTCATTTAGGAGGAGTCATATAGAGCATATTCCTCTCCATTGCAGTGAAATATGACAAAAGGTATAGTTTTTCTGCCTAGGGAAGACTTTTTATGATTCCGAAGTTCTGAGTTTTCTGGTTTTTTTGGTAGGGATGGGTTAGGTCAGATATGAATAATGACCAACCTGTAAGTATCAAAATAATTGCAGGCTCCCAGAAAGAAAGCATGTTTCAGTACCTCAGCCAAAATAACCTAATCACACAGGACAATCTTAAAAGATACATCTCCAGACACCAACCAGGTCCTTATAATATACCTTTCCATCAGAAAAATGAACCCCACCCTTCTATGTAATAAACTGTGACTACTATTGACCCTCACGACAATTGCTCCACATAATAAATGAGGATAATTAAGACAGATTTGACATTTTATTGCTTTTTATTTGAAACAGTTCATTGTAATGAGAAATATATGTATTTGTTAGGTATACTGTTTGCAGAAAGAGCTAAAGATAAAAAATCACAGTCTTCAAGAGACCACTGAACAAAATGTTATTCTACAGCATACTCTTCAGCAACAGCAGCAAATGTTACAGCAAGAGACAATTAGAAATGGAGAGCTAGAAGATATTCAGACTAAACTTGAAAAACAGGTATATATTATTGGATGGTTTTATTTTATGAAATAGAAATCTTAAAAATCATTAACAAATTTTTAGTTATAGAAATTGTTATTTAACTTTAAATATTTCACATGATAAGAAATATTCTGTATTGATATTGTAAAATGAAGTTCTAATCCTCCATAATCTGACCTGAATATCTAATTCTGTCACCACATATTTGTTATCTAATACTGCAGCCACAGTTTAGTTATAATTTAGACTTCTCTACTCAATCTCTCTTTTTTTTTTTTTTGAACCCAAATATATTACTTATCTGGATCATTATTCCTTCTAATGTTGACATTTTGGATCAGCACATGGTGTGATATTCTCTAAAGAAATGGCAAAGCAGTATACTAAAACAAAATTCCCAAAGGAAAATACTCTTCCTACTTAGTTCTGAGGATAAGTTATGGGACTGGGGAGGTAGCTCAGTGACAGAAGCATTTGCTTTGCATGCACAAGGCCCTAGGTTTGATCCTCAACACTGCAAAAAATAAAATAAAAAATAAATAAAATAAGAACAAAGTTATTACTTTAGTGAAAGAGCTCTTGAGAATTTATTATACTAGAGTACTGACCTTTTTTCTTTCATTCTTTGCCAAATTTATCTGAATTATTTTTTCTTCTTTTTATTATTTTTTTAATTTATATATGACAGCAAAATGCATTACAATTCATATTTCACATGTAGAGCACAATTTTTTATTATCTCTTATTATATACAAAGTATATTCACACCAGTT